ATCCAGAGTTTGTTCTTTCGACGATCGACGTAATCACCGGCCGCACGTAGTTTCCAACCTGGCTTGACCGACCTAACACTTCGTCTAAGGTTCAACCCCTCTCCACGTATGTATCTAATTTGCCGGTGTTTGTCGATGCTCGCGCTTCCCGCGCGGCCTAATTGCTTCTGATTCACGACTTTTCCAAAGTGTCGATTCAAGTTTCCTTCGTCGATGTGTCTTCGTGTCTTATTTGGTGGAGATTCACTCTCTTAAGGAGGATTATTCGTAGATGGGGTGAAGCAATGATTAATGCGTTATTGGATTTTTTATAACAATTGAAATATTTGTTATAATATTTTATGTAATAAAATGAAATATAAGAATTATGATAGTTAAGGATTAATAATTTGTTGTAGTATTTTTAATAGAGAATTAGATATTATGGTGTAAAGGGAAATACTTTGCACAAATTTTGAATTTTCTAATATTTTTCATGTAGTTATATCATTTTTGAAGATTTTTATCTATATCTATCATATTGCAAAAATAAAAAAAGATATTTAGAATAATTATTATATTATCTAGTGTAATTATTAATTGGTTCAAGCTTGAAAATACTATTCTATATTCGAAAAAAACAGTAAGCATAAGATATTTATTTTAAGATATTAATATATCTATAAATTTGAAGTAAAAAATCATGAGTTGAAATATCTGGAATCAATTTAAATTGCTACATTTCTTTCCCCCCTCCCCAAAAAAGATAAATGTTAAGAAACTTAAATGTACTTCAACCGTCGAAGAAACTGACAATCATATTTCAAAGAAATATAATTTGATATACACGGTTTAACTATATATACGAGGAATCTATTTAACATGTAGTGACAGGCTACGTCTATTCGAGGGTGTTTCGCTTGGGACGCGATTAATTATTGGGTTCCTTTTGGGGTTGCGAAGCTCGAGGCTTTGAGCTCAGTTGGGGGTGGTCGATGGTATGGGAAATATAAGATACGTTCACGGCCGACGTAGACACTCGGCTTAGCTTCCTCAGAGTATTAGATCAATAATTCTAACCTTAAACTGGCTCGGTCACGAGCATCGAACACGGTACTGCATGTAACGCGATATTGCTTTGCGTCGAATATTACTCTGAAGCACCTTTGCTCCGTTGGAATATAATGTTTCGATGGAAATTTCGATATTTCGTTTCAATGAAGTTGCCCGGCCAATTTCTACACCAAAGTGGCGAATTCAATTCCCTGCAATTCTATTTCTTTCTTTTTTCTTTCTTTCTTTTTCTCTTTCTTTTAATTTCGTTCGTCGATGGCTAACGTTATTTCATTAGGATAAGTTATTTCATTTCGCGAAAAAAGTTTGCGGAGAAGGTCCTTAAATTATACGCCTCAATTATGGTTTTTGCGGCTAATTACATTATCGGCCAAAAGTATGAGATTGTTTCAATTTGGTTAGTGGATTTAAAGTTATTTCTGTTTTACGAGGAAAGGAACTTTCAATCGAAATTTAATCAGATTTGAAAAAATTAAATGATAAGCATGATCATACGGATAATCGTCATGTTACATAAATTAAAAAAATATTTTATTAAATGTTTAACTTAGTGAGAAAAAAAATTATAATTAAAGAATATAATAAGATTTTATATTACAGCGATATGAAAGTTTTCCTAAATTTTATTATTAATAATAACAAAACCAACAGCTTTTTTTTGTTAATTCATTCTAATAAAAATTAAATCTCATAATTTAAATCGATAATAGTTACATAATTTTTTAAATCACTTAAAAGAAGAATTTAAAGAATACTCACCGAAGTATTACAAGAACGAAGACGTGGAACGATCATCGAAGTCACTATTTTTTTACGAAAAACGAACAGAGCCGTAAAATTTTATTACACGATTTTATTTTACGACCGAACACGTTTGAGAAACGACTGATTTTTAACGCGAGACACATCGAGACGCAATAAAATTATTTTATGAGCCAAGAGGGATACTTTGAAGCGCGACGGTCGAGAACTATCATTGGATCGTGAAAAATTACTTTACGAGACGAAGGGATGCTGCATGGAGCGCAGCATCCCCGATACTGACCGACAAACCCAGATTTTCGTCTCTTGAAATACGCGAAACCAGTTCTTTGCCGTTAAACGCGAACAATTAAGAAGTGGAATTTTCTTTTTCAAATTCTAAACATTCCCCACCACGTGGAGACTCGCTTCTTTATTTCTTCGATGCACGGAGGATGACCATTGGTCCACGACACCGTGAGAACACAGGGTGGTCCAGCTCTTAGTCACCCTTAGTGGCAAGAACAGGTTATTTTCTATCTTGGAATCTGGTACATAGTGCTTCCTTTTCAAATTTCCGAAACAAATTGTGCGTTTTTATCCTTCTCTCTTCCATCTTCTTCTTGTTTGGTGGGTAATGGGTAATAAAATTCGTTCAGCTGTTCATGCAGACAAATGATCGAGAAATTTTACAATATTTGTGGTGGAGTTTTTGGTAGGGATCGTTTTTTTGCGAATTTATGAAAGCAGTTTTGTCGATGTATTATTCATATCGACGAGTAATTTCAGTTGTAATTTTGGGATCATAAATCATAAGAGATTTATAATATCTATTAGTGCGTCAATGTTGGATTTTATATTTGTTTAATTATTAATTCATTTTTAATAAAGTTTTATTATACATTGATTTTATTTCTTATTACAATTCTTTTCTTATTATTTATATTTGAAATAAATATTTAATGTATAAATTATAATAATAATATAATAGTAATAATAATAAAGTATAAGATGATTCTTGTAATTTTTATGTTTTATTAGTTATCAAAGATCTTAATTATTTATTTTATATCTTATATTTTTTATTGTAATTTTTTATAGCATTTCTATCAAATTATATTTTTAAATTATATAATAATTAATATTTCATTTAAATTAAATGAAATTATTCCAGTAGAATTTTTTATACATACATTATTTCATTCTCTATGTATGTTTATAGATATTTAACAGTTAATAATTATTGAAATGTTTTAAAAAATAATACAAATTAACATGATATAAGAAAAATGTATATACCATCATATGCAAAATTTTCTGAAGCTATTAAATCTGCCCCGGCCAGTTTCATCCCTTCTAACTCGTCTAAGGGTGGATGTATTCCACGCATCTCTCGCGCATAAGATGACCAGTGGTCAAATGCCGTGAGAAAACAGCGCGGTCCAGAGCAGCTTTTCGATAGAACAGGTTTTCATCAAATCAGTTACTCTGTGAACAGATCTGTAGCTGATTCTCACGAACTTGTTTTGTAGAATTTCTTTTATCTTGTATGCAACATATATAAATATTTTTGAATAATTTATAGTTATAATAATTTGCCATCACGTTCGTTAATTTTCCACTCATTTCTCTTAATTTATATCGAATCTTCGTTTCTATTTTTAAATTTTTAGAAATTTTATTATAAAGAATGAAGTAGAGTAAAAATAATTTGTAATTTAATTTCAAATGATTTAAATAATTGAAATAATAATTTATAAATAAAAATTGATTCATAACAGATATTTTTATTTTTCTCTTCTAAATTTATATTTTTCATATTTAAAAGACTATCAATTATATTATTTTCACGTGTAAACGATTACAATAATTAAGATAAACAGCGTTGCTTCTATAGATTCGTCGATTAAACGATTATACAAGGGGTTGCTTTGTCTTTCTCAACTTTTCACCTCCACCACCCTCTCTCTCGGTCACGATCCTTACGGATTATGCGGATCTATCGTTCGCAAAATCGCATAATACCACGATGGTGCTTAGGCATGTAAGGGTTGAGACATGGGTTTAGGGTGGGTGTGTGCCGTAATGTTCGTATCATTAATCGAGCGTCAAATAACTTCGTACAAAATGGACCCCTATATTCAATGGAATTTTCCCTACAGACGAGTAATTCTGTAGAAATGTTATTGAAATAGAGTCCTGCTCTTCATGTATACTTTATCTGATTGAATAAATTTCTTCTATGTCGCGTTACGTAAAATTTCAACGTTGACAATGAATTTAAGAATATTAAAAATAAAAAAAAAATCGCAAAAATTTTCCACAATCATACACAAGTTATAGAAAAAGTTTAATTTAATATAAATTATACGTAGTTTATTCGTTTAAATAAGTAGGTACTACCAGTTTAAAGTTAGATTTCTATTTCAATATCAGGGGGTAAAAACACGTGCGTGTAATTGAATCCATCGCGACCCTTGAATTTCATTTTAAAATTAATTTCGACTTCGCTACCAATTGCCCGGTGGTCTGCGCGCTTAGCTTTTCATTAAATGTCTTATTCCACGATTATGGCGGTCTTCGTGATTGCATAACTTCAACTACGATTGCACACGAATTCCATTTCGAGTCGATTGCAGTCACGACGCAGTAGCAGCCATATTTGCATGGGTTAGGAATGGTAGTAGCAGAGTTCGTTGATTTTCCGAGAAATTCGCGCAGAGAGGGGATTGGTTGAAGACACAAACCGCAATTCCGTTTGTCGATATACGTTGTTTGACTTGAAGAATTCGATATCAATAACATGCTCTGTGTTTCTTCTTTCGACAAACGGAAGTATGGTTCGTTGTTAAACGATTTCTTCGCAAGAATATTTTGATGTCTATTTTTATTTTCAAGAGTTTGAATTATCGATTAAATTTAGTTATAATTATTTTAGAAAGAAGAATTTTATTACAGATATTTTTACATTTTAAAAAGATAGCGTACGAAGTATTTAATTTTACATTAAATAACTTTTAAATTGTTTTATTTTTTATCCTTCCATAAAAAAATTTAAATGATACTAGACTTTTTTTAGTTAACAATCCAATATTTAACAGTTTTTAGAATTTAGAATTCAGTTTTTAGAATTCATAACAATTATATACATTTAAAATGTATTTAACAAGATTAACATTTTTTTAAAACGAAGGAAAGATAACGAAAGTGTTACAAATTAACTTATAAGATGAAAAAAAATAGCAAAATAAAAAAAATATACATTTAATTATTAACTTTCCTTTCAAACCTGAAAAATTTCAAAAATGTTATTGCTACAAGAGTTTCTCCCTCCCTGATTTCTTTCAAATCGACATCGAAAACATTATCGACCCTCGAAAATCATCGAAGTTCGCAAAGAAGGTTCGATAAAGTTGTAGAAGGTGGTCTCAGAGGTGAGAGGGGGAGTAACATAGTGGGGGCAACGATGTCGGCAGGGAAGACGGGAATGGAGGTGGTGTTGGAGGCCGTGGTGTTTGGAGGTTAGACCGCAGTTACAATATCGCTTGATTAGAAATGTACATAGCGTATATGCGCGCGGGCCGCATATCCAGATGGTAGGGTTGGGTCGATGCCTGGGCAACTCCATAGTTTAATGCACGAACCGTAGAACTTGCAATAAGGAAGGGTTGAACGGTGGAAGGGGGTTGAGGTGGAGGTGAATAAGGGGGGAGGGAGGTAGCTCCTGGGGGTGTAGGGGGTCTCTGCATGCACACGTACACATACGGTTAACGGGAGTTCCAGTCTGCAACATAACGCGATCGCACTACTTGCTCCTTGCTTGTTGGCCCTCCAGAGAGAATGCTCGTGGTCTCGTATACCTTCGTATACCTTCAAATTCCCACGAAATGCTTCCGTGGTACCGTTCTGACGTCAAACTCCCAGGGACGTTTCCTTCGAATGCGTTCGGGTCAACAATCTTTCCATCTCTCTCTTTCGCGATGTTTGATTGCATTCGATGGAATCGTTTTAAGTGGAATTGATCTAGAATGCGGATTCACTCTTCCGTAGTTCTTCTCTCTCTCTTTCTCTCTCTGTTTTTGAGTTGAAACGGATTTATTTAATTAGATAGAGAGATGTTTTTAATTAAGATCTAATGTTGATATATTTTTTAGTTAATATTTTTTTTTATCGTTGTTCTCTTTTTTTGGAATTAACAATATTGCAGAGTTTTAAAGAACCATTTATATATAGATAGTGAATGGTACATTTTGTTAAAAGCTTTTTATGCTTCTATCTTATGTATTATGAATTATGAATGTAGAAACAAATTCTTAGAAATATTTTTAAAATCTAAAATCAGGTAAATGCAACACAAATTTATATTTATTCCTATATCATAGCAAATGTTAAATAATTATATGTATAAAAATTGTTTAAAAATGTTTTATAGATAACTATTTTTTTAATGTATTTATTTAATACAATTCCACTTTTAAATTTCTGAAAGCAATACATATTTTTTTTTTCTTTTATTTGGATAAAATATGATGTTCAAAATATTTAGTAAAATTTTCATTATGCAAGAAAAATTAACTTTTTGTATGAATGTACTTTATTCATTATTTACAAAATTAAAAAAAATATTTCTTTTATTACAACTATTATTTATTTTCTCCTGTTAAATAAACATCTTACATAAAATACAGTCAGAACTTATAAGCGCCAAAGAGGCGTAAATAATTTCAATAAATACTCGCATGTATATTCTGCGAAAGGCGCATTTATTACGTTTGTATATGTACTCTATATGTTTGTGTGTGTGTGTACGTAGCAAGATAGCTCTATATTAGCGTTATACCTTAGTTCCTAAATCAGCGTACGCTTAGACGTCCGTGTTACCAGCCACTGCAGCTCCGTCCTCGAGGAATATTCAGCCATTCCTCCTGCTTTGCCCTCAGCTTTCTCGTTGCTCTCGTTTCTCTTCGGTTGCCGGTTCTCTTCGTCTGTTGCTCTATCCTCGATTCGCCCAAAGTTTGGAGAGCTCGCGCTTGAGAGGAAACGCTGAACGTCACTGCAATATCGTCTAATGTTCTCGAAGAAGATGGCGGTTGTAACGTTTGATACGTTCCCCGCGTATACCCCGGAATGGACATGATTTTCCTTTTGATGATGGTTGGCTAAATTGAAACTGAACATCAGCCGCGCTCAACGGGAAATCGGAAAGATTTGATTTCCTTTAATTTTCTAATTTTCGAATTATATATGCTCAAGCCAACACTGGTTTTCAGCCAAATAGTAATTAACCGACGCTTGGTTTACTCGGATCCTTGTAATTTGTACCAGGAAACATCAAAGCATCGATCAACTATCTTTCGCCATATATTTACTTATCGATATTAGTTTGCACAAAACTTTATGTGAAAATTTCCACTAACAAACTTTTGCATTTAGATTATAATACAGGCGATACATAATTATTTTGGAAAATATTATTGCAACAGAATTTTATATACAAGATTAAATTTTACGTAAGAATGTTCGACTATACATTGATAAAGAAAGCGATAAATATTTGATTCATAACATAAAATTTAAAACATGCAAGTATCCTCGTCAACAGTAGTGCAAAATTAAAATTATAGATTTAAATTATATAAAAACATTGTAAACGAAACATTAACAGAAACAAAAAATCAACAAAAGTAAATAAAAAAAAAAGTTCATCATCTTAATACTTTTTTTCCTATTAAAAATCCCATTTACGACATATATTAAATATTAAACTTAAAGCAAGACAATCACAATTTTCCTCAACTTAAACATTTTACTCATATACGCGTTTCCCACGCGAAAG